TGGTACAGGCTGCCACATCGGGACTTAGACCCGAACCACGCAGGCACAGACACAACTATCGTGATAAAGCCCGGCCGTAGGCAGCGCGCGCCGTGCTTCCCTCGGCTGTAGCGCACCCAGCCTGCAATCGCCCGTCCGATCCGGGCAACATTGCAGGAAATACCGTTGCAATCTGGGCAGTGCATCTGCTGCTGCGGACCGAACCGTGCAAGGCGGAGGGAGGGGGCGCCGAGCGGCCCGGCGCGGCGAAGGGCCGTGCTGACCGAACAGGTCGGGGTACGGCCCAGCTCGTGTGTGAACAGTCTGCGCGACTGCGACGCGATGAGCTGAGGCGCTAAGCTGAGGCGCTGAGCTGAGGCGCTGAGGCGCTGATCTGAGGCGCTGAGTTGAGGTGCTCAGCTCGCTTGCAGCGGCGTCCCGCTCGACGACAATGCACATTGCGACGGTGATGTCGAAGGTTGTGCATCTGCTCCAAGGAAAGACGGGTTTGAAAGAGTTGCTACGGTACGTGCACATTCGGTATGTAATCCTGATGAGAGTGCATATGGCCGGTGGTCATGAAGCACCACACTTAATTAGCCGACCCTTTCCTCCACTGTCCGATCGGGGCGATCTCGGCTGCTTCCATTGTCCATTTGTTCGCTTGCTGTGGACGGCAGAGCCCGTTTAGCGCCCAACCGCCCCACCCGCCGCGGCCTTGCCCCAGAGAATCCGGCGCAGCCGCCACCGGCCGGCACTGCCTGCCCAAATTCAAACGCCGGCCGGCCGCTGGCCAGGTGCGTGACGTCACCCGCCCGTCTGTGACGTCACGCAAGCCGGTAATTGGGGATCGGCGGCAGCGATGGCGGCGGCCCGGACGGGTGTGCCCGCACCGGGCTGGACGCTGCCGGAACGCGTCGGAGGAGGCCCTGCGCGACGCGTGCGCCCCCTGCCGGTCAGGTGCGCCCGCGGCCCGGCGCCATATGACCGCGGATGCGTCAAGGAAGTGTTCGATTAATTCGCGACGCGTGGGTATGTCGTGTTCTCGTGTTAAGTTTCTGCTATCCTGCCATTTTAGCCGTACGCAGAGAACCGGGCAGTTAACGTTTTACGTAGCGTTGTGAATTTTGATGGTAGGATTCGCAGAACTTTTAGAGCGTGCTAGATAGATTGTTCTGTGAGAGCAGCGGTGAAAGACACAAACTGTTGTGAAAACTCATTGCATGTATCTGTATTTTTATATTTTAAGTCAAGTAACTATGGAGCTGGCTTGCCATGCTGCGGAAAGGGCAGGTCTTCTTAAGCCAGCTGTAGTCGAGAATATCCAGCCGCAGACTATGCTCTAGGCGAACGACTAAAACAATCCCGTCACGTGACCTTCGTAGTTTTTCCGTCCTGCGCACCCGAGAGCCCTCACACAGCATGTCAGTCACACAGCATTTCGGTCATGCGGCACGTCAGTCCGTGTGGCGGCACGCGCTCGTCACCGGGCGCCGTTGCCTTGATGGCGGCCGGCCGCCGGGGGGCGTGCAATTAACTCGTCGAGCGCCGGACGCGCATGTCGCCGGCGACAGCAGGGCGGACCGCTTGATCAATACCACCTCATGCTGAGCGGCCGCGGACGGAGTGCGGCCGCGGAGCCGTCCGGCCGGCGGGGGTGCCCGGTCCTGGAGGCCGAGCTGCGCCCGTCGAACAAAGCCGTCGCCGGCGCGGCCAGAGCGCGTCCGCCCGGCCCGTGACCGAGCCGAGCACGCCGCGCGCGCCGACCGTGACCCCACAGGATGTCCTCATTGTTCACCTGGCGACCACCGTCGCCGCCGTGACATACGGCCGCCGGCCGCGGTTCACTGCCGCGGCCGTCTGAACACGAACGAACGGCAGCAGGTGTCGAGTAAGCTGTTACCTGGCTGGCGGGTATTCTTGGATTTAGTTTGCGCTGCGTGAAACGATGGTATTGCTGCACCTGGACAGCGCGATTGTAGCTTTTTACCTAGACTTCTACCCGCAACGCGATAAGAATATTGGGCGAACACAGTGTTTGCTCTGCAGGACGTCCCACATGATGTTTCGCCGGGCCCTTTCAGCTCCTGCCCGGCCCCGGCCCCTGCCCCAGCCCCGGTCCAAATCCCGGCCCCGTCCCGGTCGGAGCGCCGCTGGCGCCAACTGGCGGCCGGATCCCGGCGCGTCCGGCCGTCCCGAGCCTGGGAGCCGGTGGCCGCCGCTTCCGGCCGGCGGCGCGCGTCCTGCGCGGCCGGCGGCGATGACGCCCCGCCGCCGTCCGGCTGGACGCGGCAGGGCCCGGCCGGCCGGCTGCGGACGCCCGTTCTTGCGTGAACGGTAAGGCCGCTGCGGGGCAATTTGCCCGTGGGAGGAGGCGCCGCGGTCGAAAGCGGCGCGCCGGCTCCCACCGGCGCTGGCAAGCGCAGTCGGCTGATTGATACGTCACCGCCGGTCGCGCCGGAGTGATGCGTGACCTGGGTGCGGAGACGGTCGGCGGTGAAGTGGAATGTGGACAGCATCGACTCATGAGCACCACTCCGTTTCAAGACGGATGATGACGGATGATGACGGATGATGATGATGATGATGATGATGATGATGATGATGATGGAATTCCGGTTACTGCTTGTAGCCTACGGACCAGAACTCCGGCTGTTGGCAAACCTCGCTCCTGGCGTCACCAAACTTTAATGGGGTGCTGGCGCTGTGCAGATCTGACTGTTGACAAACTAGTTCGCTTTTAATTCTTAGTTGCCTAATATGACGTTCGAAAGCCATTGTGTACTGAACAAGCGGAAGGTTCGTCCTTGGTGTGGCCAGACAAACAACACTCAGTCTGCTAGCCTTCAGCACTAGATCAATACTGTCTGCGCTGGTTCGCAATCATCCTCACTCACCGCGGCTTGTAAACATGCCTGGAAAATAGACTAACGCCGCTTCACCTGTTTATCACCGAAGCCTATATTGCCCGACCACACCAGAGCGAACCACCGTGTTCGGATGCAGGACCGAGCGAGCTGGAGGGTTGGCTGGCCTCTGCCCGGTCAGTTGAGTGACCTCGCCAGCAGCGCTGAGATATGTGCGGGTCCGTGACCCGACAGCGTGCCCGTGACCCTGTCAGTCATCTCCTGACGGCGCGCAGGCCGACAGCCGACGCGTGCGTGACTCAGATGTCCGCTTTTTAGCGGTTCGGCGTGCTGTGCGCCGGCGCTCGGCGGACTGAGTCAGCGGCCGCCGTCAGTGACGCGGCGGGCCTGCCGTAATTGCATGAGGTTTCCTCGCGCGGCCATTACCGGTGGGAGGCTCCCAGGGACCGGCGCCGGCCAGCCGGCCGGCGCGCCGCCGCCATAATGGCCAACGCCCAGGGGTGCTGGCTCCGCACCGGCCGGCACCGCCGTGGTGGCGCCACTTGTCCTGGTGCCGGGCGGTGCTGGATGGGTCAGGACTGAGCCGCTGCGTGGAGACGCCGCCGGTGCTGGGTGCTGGATGAGCGCCTGGCGTCTCAGACGTACCCCTCTGTTGGGGGGAGGGGGGCCGCGGGTCGCCGTCACAGACCCGGGCTGATGGAGGGAGCGGTGGCAGCCGCGCGTACGTCTCTGGGTGCGCCCATGTCCGGCTGCCATCGTCGGCGCGAGCGTCCCCTCCAGTCTGAATTCACAGTCGCGCGCAGTCCCCTCCACACTCACGTGGGCCGCCGGCAAAATCAATAGCGGTCGCTGGGCGAAGCGCCAGGGACATGGCGTCGGACGACGAGGCGCGAGCGGCGCCGGCCACGTCGACACCGACTTGCGCTGGTTTGCAGGAAAGCCCGACGAATAAGACTTCGGGATTGCGGCGCCATATCCGCCCGCACCGTCTGAAAGACCACCCAGCTGCAGGGCGGGAGGTGGTAACGAGTGGACATAGGATGACTGCTGGGCCCGCCGCCGGTGTCGGGCGCAGCGTTTTGGCCCCTACGCGCAAGTGCGACGCGTCGCCGGAACCGACGCCCATCGATTTCGACGTGCGATGACTGTGCGCGCCTTTGAGGCGGGGTGTGCCGGCCGGCTGAACCACGCCCTCTGCGCCGGCGGCGACGCCTCGCGACACGGCGCCGCCCGCGCGACGCCGCTCGCCCCCGGTGACTGCCGGCTGGCTGACCGGCCGCCACAGCGACCCGAGCCCGTTGCGACACTACCCGCTCGCTCTCGCTTTCACACTCAAGCGAGTCGAATAGGGTGCTTTTTGGTTATGGCTGTGGTTTATTTGTGCACGTTTCACGGAGTCATGGGAGCCCAGTGGTCGCAACACCTGGCTGGAAGCTCTAGGCGGCCACACGTTTGCAACAGATGTTGGTAATACACTGTGGGCCGCTGTCGTATCGAGTCAGTACACTCTGGCAACCCTCCAAGATCTAAGCTATTAAGTCTCATTTTAAAGCGCGTGTCTCTAGAGGGGCAAGACCGGCAAGAGGGGACTAAAGGTTCAACTAATGTTTGCAAGATAACTTGCCACACTACAGCGTATTTGGACACACCCGACAAACATAGCTGCCAGAGCATTCCAAAAAGCGCAGTCTGTTTAGTCGGTGAAGGATGCCACAATGTAAACCGAGTACATCATGCGTACTATTACGATGCTTGACACGCAGCTGACGCCCGCCGGCGTTCATCTAAATACAAATGCAATTTTGACTGCCTTCCCAGCTCGCAATCGGTTTTGCCGCAACAATTATCAGATTGATGCGCTTTGTCTCGTTACCGCAGGTACTTTCTAAACTGAATGATCCTCAAACGTACTGTATTGAGGCAAGATAACAGCCAGGCCTACAAAGTTAAGCCCCATATGTGTGATGCGATGCCATACTTTGCGAGTCAGAGCTTCCTTCGCCATCGTCTCCTGAGTGAAGCTGGCCCAAGCCGACGACAGGATATCTGTCTTACGCTCTAACGCTCCTAGGACGCTGTGCTGACACTACCCGACCTGACCTGCCTTGACCCGATTTGACATGACCTGACCAGAGCGTGTCATCTGGCCTACAGGAGTATGCGGACAGCTGTTCAGCGTTCAGCCGCGGGCGGAGAACGTGGCCCGTCTGGGGGACTCGGTGACCCTAGAGTGCATCACCCGCGAGGAGGTCAACTGTGCCTGGAAATTGGAGGACGCCCCAGGCCTGAGCGCCACTGGGTTTATCAACGTCAACGTGAGCCAGCTCGCTGCCCGCAAGGCGCACTGTGGACTTTTCAGTCGTAACGTCTTGTTTGAAACCAAAATGCAACTCTATGGGATAATTTTCTGACGGAGATATGTGTGTTATGGGACACAAGGGCTGCACAGATGCTGGATGTGTGCTTCAGGGACATCTGAAGCTTTAAAGCGCATGGTTTTTGAAGATTCAGAACTTTGAGTATCGCTGGATAATTGCAAAGGAAAACTGGACGTCATCTCGGAAAATAGGAACTGGTCTCGTGCATGTGTTGTCTTGTCCGTTGGCGGCTGGGATGTGCTACGGGGTATAGCTAACATGGTATGCAATGAAGGTTGAAATTTTTGGGGTCGCGTGGTCGAGTCCCAGCCCTTTTCCCAGCGTCTACACACTGGGCACAGACAATGAGCGTCACCGATGTTTTTGGGTATGCCTAGCATGCGAGTGACTATAGTATATCAATTGGCCATCGAAATTGTTCCGCACAGGCTTCGAACACAGTGGTCGAGTGTGCACTGAATCGACTTTCCGCGGACATTGTCATCAAAAGACTGTTGTCGGGTCCGACATGTCATCGCCCATTGAGTTGATGAGACGTAAATACAACATAACTTCCCTGATCAGTTACAGGCAGCGGAGTTATTTTCATTTATAAAGTTACAGGCAGCGGAAGTATTTTCATTTATGGGGTGGTTTAAGCAAATGCGCTGAACCCTGACGTAGTGAGGGCGGGGGGGGGGGGGGACTGAAGCCTCACGAGACTGCGCGTAGCCGGCCGCGCCTCTGGTCACCCTCTTTGGGAAGGAGCAGGGCGTTTTAGATGTGTTTGTGCAGCTAGCGCTTGAGTTCGCTTCTTGCGCTTGGTGCATCACTTTGAATTGAAATTGTCACCAACTAGCTTTGTGTGACAACAGCGTTCCAACACACGGCCCATGATATCGATATCCCGCATGGCTATCACCGGGATTTGTGCTGCTCTCGCCGGCGAAGCCTCGCCATTGTGCCGACGTCATCGTTCCCTTGCTGAAGGTGCCCGCTGAGCTGGGCATCAAGGCGCGCGACCCGACCAGCCGGACCGACTGCACCATCATCATCGAGAGCGTCACGAGCGACCACAACGGCAAATACCTGTGTTCTCCGTTCACTGCGGCTGGTGGCCAGGAGGACGCCGAGTTCGCTGAAGTCATCATTGCTCGTGAGTCTTGTTCGTCGCGAGATGCGGTCGCTTGACCACCGTTATGCGCTAGTAGTCCATGGCGAAGGGAGATGGATCATTATTTTGTTGTCAACACAGACATTGCAGTCCTTCCTTCGAATGTCGTCGCAGGCGTCGGTTTGCATAGACTGGCTTGCTGTTGCGATTCGTTTACTTTAGACTTCGACAAGCATCCCGTGAAATGGTATGCGCCGTCGTATAGCTGTGTTGGGCGCCGGCGATGGTCAGTTCAAATAATTTGACACCAGTCATGTGTCGTGGCTGTTCGGACCTGTGCTCACTTCTGGTGCTCGTGCACCAGCTTCGAGCCGGGGTCCACATCTCGTGCTCGAGTTTCATGTGGCGGGTCGCGGCCCGTATTTCATGTGATTCTGCCACGTGCCGTGCCCCACACAACACCCCCCACGTTCTGTTTCCCGTGTGATGTCTGCCACATCCCGTGCCTCGTGTGACACCCGCCACAGCTCGTGTGATGCCCGCCACGGCACGTGCCTCCGCCACAGCTCGTGTGGGGCTGCCACGTGCCGTGTCCCGCGTGGTGGCCGAGACGCCCCGTGCGCCGCCCCGGTCTCGTTCCCTGTGTGACGCCCGCCTCGCGCCCACGCTGCAGAGAAGCCGGTGGCTGTGGAGTTCAGCGGCGAGCACGCCGGCCATTCCGAGCTCCTGGCCAGCGCCGATGAGCCGGCTTCGATCACCTGCGAGGCGCGCGACGCCAGGCCCAAAGCTGAACTGCTCTGGTATCTGGACGACGTCGAGCTGTTCGAGGGCGTCACGGTCGAGGACGAGGTGGACCCCGGCTCGAAGCTGGTCACCAGCCGGTCGACGCTGACGTACCAGTTCAGCCGCGAGGACGATGGCGCCGGGCTTCGCTGCGCCGCCCGCCACCCGGGATACGACGAGCAGGACAACCAGGAGGTCTCGATCAACATCATGGTGCAGTGTGAGTCGGCGAGCTGCTGTGCTGGAGCATTGGCACGGCAGGAGGGAGTATCGGTGCTGCGCCGGGATTCGCGCTCATCACATTTTTGGGTATTTGAATTCTGGTTTTCTATATAATACTGGAGATAACGTTCATTGTTTGGTGTTTAATTGGCGTCACGAGCTGGTACCACACATATTTAGTAGCCATGGTGCAGTTCTCCAACTCAGTTGTAAGGTGGTGAAGGCTCCAGCCTCGCTCCCCGAAAGTTGATACGAAAGTGGGTTAGATTCAAGAAGAGACTAACTTTGGGGCGTTTTTGTAGGTTTCTCATCTTCCCCTCCTGCGATGCTCTCCATATCGATATACTTGACTAGTATTTATATTAATCTTCATTGTCATGCTAGTTACATTATTGTTATCTTTATTTAGATTTGTTACTTTTTTAGTTAGCTTTTAGTATTTATTTCTACAGTCATTTATATACTTCTCATTTTTGATGCTGGTGTGTGTGTGTGTGTGTGTGTGTGTGTGTGTGTGTGTGTGTGTGTGTGTGTGTTGTGTGTGGTGTGTGTGTGTGTGTGTGTGTGTGTGTGTGTGTGTGTGTGTGTGTGTGTGTGTGTGTGTGTGTGTGTGTGGTGTGTGTGTGTGTGTGTGTGTGTGTGTGTGTGTGTGTGTGTGTGTGTGTGTGTGTGTGTGTGTGTGTGTGTGTGTGTGTGTGTGTGTGTGGTGTGTGTGTGTGTGTGTGGGTGTGTATGCAAATCTAAATCAATGACTTATAATATACTTATGTAGTAGGCCACCCGTCAGTAAACCACCATAACGAGCCTGCGAACTTACGTGAATAATCCAACAGCAGCCAGGCATTGGCAATGACCTGGCGCATGCTCTGAAAGGCTGAGTCCCGCCTGCTTCAAGTGCGATAGCACGCGCCATAACTGCGTGCATCCCACCCGTGGCCCAGTTTTTCCCGGCTGACCAGGCCTTTCGCCGGACTGATCTGACCTGACCTGACTGATCGATCGCTGGCACCGGCAGACGCTCCGTACCGTCCGGAGGGCGACTTGGGCACGCTGTACGGCTTCACGCAGGACCAGGAGGGCACCGTAACCGTTACTTCACCTCCAACCCCCGCCCCACCGTCATGGCCTGGACGGTGGAAGGCGGCCGCACGATCGCCGCCGGCGAGCAGACTGAGGACGCGCCGCTTCAGCTCTGGAGTCCTCGAGGAGGTGC